ATTTACTGATAGTCAAGAAAACAGTACTTTATTGGAAAAATTAAGCTAATCGAAGCCTATCCGAGAGGAATCCGCTGTCGTCTTCTTGTAGGATCCACCTTCGAATCTCTTCATCAAACGCTTTCATTAAAAATGGAAGTGAGCTCAACTATTATGAACTTAGAGGTGGATAAAAACCCAATATTTGTTCGTAAATAGACAACTTTTCTATCTTCTTTATCTCTCACACACACACACATACACACATTTAGGTCTGCTACCAGGTGGACCCCTGCTTCTTGAGGCCGGGCGAAGATGAAATCTTCTTCGACTACCTTCAGAGAAGCCGGCTCCACATCGACGTTTGGAACGCCGAATCTCTGATGCTGATAGGCTCAGCTTGTGTTGATCTGAAGGTAGGTCGCCCTCAAGCACTTTTGTGTCCCTTCTAACAGTACCTTGTGACTCGGATTCTTTTTCCCACTTAGTTCTTGAAGCATTTAAGGCTCCAATTACGACAAATATTAAAAGCGTCAAGTGGCTGTTGAATGAAGTGACAATTTACAACTACCAAACCATTTGTAAGAAATGAAAAAAAAGTGAACTTTACTGAATTCATGCAAAAATTCTGGTTGCTGTCCCCTTCAATAACGCTTTACTTAGCCTCATTAGAAAATCGTGGAATCGGAACAATTGCTTTTTCGGTTTCCGGTGAGGCCAATTAAGAATTCTCGACCAGCCACATTTTTTCCGACCAAATTACGGTTTGGAAGACGGTGATAGTGTTATGGGTACATTCATTTCGTATGAAAGTGAATGAAGAAGAGATTCGTTGGTCGATCTGACCAGATGAGGACGGATGAATCTCGTTGTACTGCAGCTGTTTGGTTTGTATACGACATTCATGTTGACGCATTCCACGAGATTTCCTCCCTCGTTTCGGATGAAAACGTGCTGCAGTACGACGAGATTCATCCTTCCTCATCTGGTCAGATCGACCAAAGAATCTCTTCTTCATTCACTTTTATACGCAATGAAAGTCATCTCAAGAGATCCATAGAAACGCAGTTTCTCTTCATATAGTGACTTCGAAATCTACAAATGTTGGTGTCATCTGTTTCGAAAGTGCGGTTGAAGGTTGATGAGCCAGTTAGGCGGACCTGCAAGCTCAGCAAAACGGTTGAATGAACATGCACCAGGCAATTGACATGCCATTCCTTTGGAAGGATGACGGGATTTTGAGGGATTTCTTAGTTTATCACAGTTTCAGGACTGTGGGACAAGAACTTTTTGGCACAAACCAACAGTCTTTACTTCAAGGCGGTCAATATTTCTTCGGTTTCCGGCACGACCAATTGACAAAATTGCTTCAATCAACTTTTCGCTAAAAAACAAACATTCCTACTCTTTTCAGTTTTATCTCCATTTCCTACCAGTCTTTGTTGCATCAACCACTTTTCTGGTCAATTTCAGCATCTCTGTCGTCAGGGCCGTGCCGGGATCCAGACGATCTACATGCTCGATGTGGTGCAGCCGGTCAACTGGAGCTTCCACTCTTCTCCCCACCAACTTGAGGAGGATATCCACGAGGCGGAAGTCTCGTCCACTCGCCCATTCGGGAGTCTAGAACTGCAGAGTCAAATACGAGGTCGGCTTCACTTGCGTCTTAGCAATATCGGCCGGCGCCCGACCATTTCGACCGGTAGCTCTGGTGAGGCAACAACAATGCTTCATAGCAGGAAACGAAAGATGTATTTGATCGGCACCCCAGACCTCAGCAAAGTGTCCAGGTAGCCAATGCTTTATCATATTTTTGTGTATTATTAACAAATGTTGGCATTAACATTGGTCTTCCCATCTACACAAGTGTCATCAGTCATGTTTGACGTTTTCGGATCCTTGATTATGCATACAAATTTGAGCGAAATCGTACTTTGACTGACCTCATCTGACCCCAAATGTGGGTTGCCTGGGCTCTGTGATGCTTGTCGGCTGGAGCATAACAGTCATTTGCGTAACCATAACCAAATCAAAGCTATATTTTTATATTTTAAACAAATATATTTATGCAATATTTTTCGAATTAAGTATTGTTTTTCGTGACTACC